CGGGCACAGTGCCCGGTGTTTCTCGGGCAGTCGCCGTGTTCGCTTTCGCTGTTGCGCTGTCCGCCCCGCCTGCCTGGTGTGTTCTGCAGCGCCGCCCGCCCCTCAGGTACCGTGGCCTGTGGATGGTGAAGCTGGGCCGTGGCCAGGCTGTCGCTTCTCGGGCTCCGAGCTTGCCTGAGGCCGTAGCTCTGCTGATGTCTGGCCTGTCGAGGTAGTGCTCTATTCCCCAGGGAGCGGCCACCCCATCGCTGCGACAGGATCTCGGGGTTTTGCCACCACCTGTCAGCTGAGGGGAGTTTGGCTCGGGATGTGCTGTGTAGCTGAGAGTGTGCCTTTGGGACATGGCAGAAACAAAAATCGGGCTGTCCTTTAAGCTGATGCACTTACTGGAAAATACAAAAGCAGTGTAACATTAACCTGCATGTTGGCACTTTATATCAAGTGTGTGCTTTTCCCCATCTCTGTTAAAGATGTTGTGAGCCTCAAGTGGTTTGTGAGTTGGTTGTGCTCTTGAGAATACCGCCTCAGCAGTGTATGTGACAGCACATGCATGCTGTAACTGTGACCAAGGAGTTCTTGGCTTCAGTGTCCTAGAGGCACCTGAGGATTTCATAGCATGAGTGAGGTGTTTAAGAACTGGAACTGCTGTTTTTGAAAAAGCCTAGTCTGTTCTGCTGGTTATAATCCAATGTTTGTGTCTGGGTTTGAACAGCAGGGTTAATACTTAATGTATGAGTTGCTTTTTTCTTTCTTACGTGAAACTCATCAGTCCCGTCATCACCTTGCTCAGATGTCAAGTTGTTAAAACCTGAATATATTCTTGAAGATGAAGTATATTTCTTTATATGCCAGAAGTGATTCTTAAGAGCTGGTGATCAGACACTGTAACCCAGTCTGCAGTTAAGTTATTGTTAACTGGTCTTTCAGCTCCCAAAGACCCGTGGTAAAATAAAATCACCAGACATGTCAAATACTTTTATTTTTATTTTGTAGTATATTTTTTTTCTCAACTAGTTTGATAGTTCTGACTGCCTTCGAAATTGAAAAACATGGTATGTGTAATCCTGTTTGGTATTCCACAAAGTGATATTTTGGTGCTCGCAGCAACTTGTAGAGCTGTGTTGCTCAGGGGTTTGCGTGTTTCACCCTTGCTCTTACCAGGGCTACCACTGGATGTTAGAGCAGGACTCTTGTAAGGCTGGGTTGATTTGTTGATGAAATGCCCACATGGGAATTTAATGTTCAAGCAGGCCTTCCTGCTGCATTTATGGTAAATAACTTTGAGGTTTTCCTTGTCTACGATTAATAACTGGTCAGTGCTTCACAGTCAGGAAGGGTAGTTTTAGTTCTCAGCTTCTCACTCATGCTATGAAATTGTCATGTGTACCTAGTAGAATACTCTTCTGCTTCAAGAAGCTGAAGGTAAAATTCAGAATTTGTTGGTCCAGGCATGCTATTGCATGACATCTCAAAGAAGTAATAATATATTCCTGAGAGCTGTTTTGTGGAGAAAGCCTAGTCTGTTCTGCTTGCTATGATGTACTGTGTACAGGTCTGGGATGAAGGAAGAGGGTTAAAGCCTAATGAATGAGATGCCTTTTTTTAATTTCTTTCAGTAATTTGTCTGCAAACTGTTGGTCCCATCTTCATCCGGTTAACATGCTCAACAGTCATAATGTTAAGCTTTACCACAGCAAAGCTCTCACCTCCCCATACCCAGGATCACACGTGGAGCGTAGCCAAGTTCCTGCAGATAAAGTGGGCTGGCTGACTGAGTGGAAGGATTATAATCCTGTGGAGTACACTGCAAAGTCTGTTTTGGCTGGACCCAGCTGGGCAGATCCCCAAATCAAGTGAGTGTTGTTGTGTCTCTTTTCTCCTGTGAATATGGAAGTGGGAGATAGTGATCAGCTGAATTAATAGAATCATCAACTTAAATGATGTGATTCTGCAGTGATGTGTGAAAGTCAAGACCTAGAAAGATGGTGGTTAGAAAGCTGAATCATTTAGGTTAGCTCTGAAGGACGCATGATTTTACAGAGCTAAGAGTAATGTTAATTGGAATAATGGACATCTGTTGATGCTGTGTAGTGCTGCTTCTCTGTGTTGTGAGCTAAGTAAAAATCTCCTAATTCTTAAGAATTTGGGAGAACATTTTCATAATATATTTGTTCGCGGCTGAATGCAAGATGAGGAAAGACTTAAAGTAGAATTGTAGTTCTTGAGTTGACCACTCTGCAAGGAAGTAGAGGTGGTAGGGTAGCCCTGTATGTTAGTCAGTGTTTTTGATTGTCTAGAGCTTAATGATGATGATGATAGGATTGAGAACTTCAGAGGAAGTGGCAGGCAACTTGGGAGGACCACATGGATGTTGGCTGGCTATGCAGGGAGAAAATTAGAAGGGCCAAAGCCCAACTAGAACTTACTCTGGCTACTGCAGTAAAAGACAACAAAAAATGTTTCTATAAATACATTAACAACAAAAGGAGGGCTAAGGAGAATCTCCATACTTTATTGGATCTGGGGGAAACATAGTGACAATGGATGAGGAAAAGTCTGAGGTACTTAATGCCTTCTTTGCCTCAGTCCTTAATAGTAAGACCCGTTGTTCTCGGTGTACCCAGCCAGTTAAGATGGAAGACAGGGATGGATAGCAAGATGAAGCCCCCATAATCCAAGGGGAAATGGTGAGTGCCCTGCTACACCACTTAGATGCTCACAAGTCTGTGGGGCTGCATGGGATCGACCCAAGATACTGAGGGAGGTGGTGGAAGTGCTCATCATTTATTTGCAGTCCTGGCTAACTGAGGAGGTCAGCAAATGTGATGCCCATTAAGAAGAAGGGCTGGAAGGAGTATCTGGGGAGCTACAGGCCTGTCAGTCTGACCTCAAGTGCCAGGGAAGGTTATGGAACTGATCATCCTGAGTGCCATCATGTGGCACATACAGGACAGCCAGGTGATCAGGCCCAGTCGGTAGGGGTTTATGAAAGGCGAGTCCTGCTTGGCTTACCTGGTCTTCTTCTGTGACAAGTTTTATAAATTATTTTTGTTATTCTTTTCCACACAGCGATAAAGGGTTTTCTCCCAAGTTCAATGAGAGAGATGGAGAAGTGGAGAGGAAGAGTCTGAATGGCACATATGTGGTTGAAAATGGGAGGCCCCGGTGAGTATTTTCTGTGTTCGCATGTTCATTTGAGTGACGTAGAGCTCTTACAGGTCTGTCAGTTTTGATACATGGCACCTGCTGGAACAAAATCAAGATAGTCATACTTACAGACAGGGAAAATGATACCTCAGGGCCAGAGAGTTCTTTCTGGAAGAAGGTTGTGGCAGAGAGGCACCAAAAGGTTAGCCAGTACTGCCACAACAGAAGATTGTGGTGACACTGGAGTCAGAGGAGGTCTAGCACTGTTAACAGTAGGGTCTGTTGAATTAGTTGTTTCCACAGTTTGACCAGATGTTGGGCTCTGAAGCTTTTGTAACAGTTTTGTGCTAAGGTGGAACAGAAAATTATTTCCTTGTACTGATGAATCCTGGCATAGCACAGAGAAGGGTAATCTCACCTAAGAATAACATCTTTTCTTTCTGCCTTTCGTACGTAATTGAATGCTCTGTGCATCTGTAGTCTTGGAAACTAGATTCCATTTTCAGATAAGCTTGTGGGCACAATGAGAGTAATGCTTAATCAGGAGTATCTCAGGATGCAAGATGTGGGAAATGATAGAGCCATTTTGTATATTTCCTTTCCCTGTACTATCAAACACAAAGAAGTTGATGAAGGTGAAAACCATCCTTTGTCTCTTGCTCTTCAAAGCATACAGTAGCACCGAATGTATGTTGCTATCCTTTCCTTTGTTGTTTAGGCTTCTTTAAAGCTTCTTTTTTGGAATACTTGGAGCATATTTTGAATATGGAGAAGTAAATGTGTTTAATGTACTGTGCCACTTATTTCAGAAATCCAGTGGGAAGGACTGGCCTCACAGGCAGAGGATTGTTAGGGCGCTGGGGACCGAACCATGCTGCTGATCCTGTTGTGACTAGGTAAGGGACAGGTAACAGAAAGGTGCCCTGAAGCAGAGCTAAAAACCCCATGCATTTTGCTTTTTCCTTGCATCTGTGGGCAGGCTATTACTTACCACAGGCCTTTTGTGTGTGTTCATCTATGTGTAAGCCCATTCGGACATGGGTATCTGAATGGAGAGAGATACATAGACATCTGGAAGAAAAAAATTCTAGTTTTTTAGTCTTTGTTTCTGGGAAAGAATAAGGACTCACTGCTAATGACAAGCAATAGCCTCTGAAATGCTGAGGAAGCAGATTTAAAGGAAAAAAAAGCAACCCAGGAGGCTTAAATAGAAATATATCTTACAAATAATCTTCAGCAATGAATGTAAAACCTGAAAGGATTATGTGATACTTTGATACTGTATGCGTGATATGCCAAAAGGCCTTAAGTTAGGCGTTTTAAATTGCAGGAATAGGTTTTTGTGTTATAATGATTTAACTGCAAACAAAAGCAGTGTGTCTGCTTTTGCTCTGTAAGAAATACTAACTTGGCCTAGTAGGAGGAGGGGTTAGCCTCTTCCTTTGCGTTTTGTCAGTATATGCTCTTTTAATGGCACTTTTGCCAGCGGGATCTGTGTACATGCTGACTATTTTACACAAAGAAAGCATTCAGAGAAGATTGTGTAGTTAACGCAGATGCAAGATGAGAAGTGCCATGCTGAAGATCGAACCATTGTGAAAATCATGCTAATGCATTTTACTTCTTTCCCTTTTCAGAAGGCTGTCAATGCTACCAAGTTGTTTCATTGAAAGTAAAAGAAATGCTGGTTTGATTCTGTATTTGTTTAGGTAGCTTTTTGCTTTAACTATTGTTCTTAATTCCTTACAGAAGGCAGCAGTGGATGTTTGTGGCCTTGTGCTGGTGCTGGGCAAGCAGTTCAGAGGTGGTGTTTCAGCCTACATATACATTCAGTTCTAGCAGAAACTGTACTTACCCTCTCATTATGGATAGGCACCAGTGCAGCTTGGTGAGCATTGCAGCTGGTAGGGTGTGCTGGAGGCACCTCTCAAAGGACCTGCTGCTGTCAGTGTGATTACAGAAATGTGGTTCTTGAGCAGTTTCTGCCCTTTTGGCTGAGGAAAAGACAGTTGGTAGAGGTGTGCAAAAAACACAGTGCTTTGCCCTTGGTTGTGATCTTGCTGGACAGCATCTGTCACCTGCCCCCTGTGACTGTTCTTTTTCTGCTTTGCTCCCCCACAGATGACAGCGCGGGTGCTTTGCTGTTTGTGTGTCAGGCCCTCCTGTCAAGAAGCAGAAAAGCATGTTCTTGTTTGTCATTTGGTGCAGGTGGAAGAGAGATGGAAGTGGCAATAAAGTTGCTCATCCGCTTACTGGCAAAAACATCTTGCAGTTCGTAGCTATCAAGAGGAGAGACTGTGGGGAGTGGGCCATTCCAGGGGTAAGAACAAAGCTATGGTGACAGTGGACATTTCCCACTGCTAAGGCTATGAGGTGATAACTGTTGTGTGTGTGTAGTAAGAGCATGCTTTTGATGAACAGCCTTGTGTGCAGAGGTGAGGAGAAATCCTCCTTAACCTAGCTTTGCCCAGGCATCAAGTGATATGTCTTCTACTGTTTCTGTATTACAAGGCAGTATTTGTATTTAATTCTGACCATGTCTTTTGTTTAATGCAGGTGCAATTTAGTCTATTGCAGGTTTTGAAAGATCTGCATGCTCACTCTTTACAGAACTTTACTAACTGTAAAGTTCCTCCCATGTCCAGAGTATGATGCAGGTGGATGTAATATACTAAGAGCCAGCCAAAGGGAATTAAAAACAAGTGGAATCTGATGGATAGTCACCTTTTTATTTTCTTCTCTCCCCTTTTAAGGGGATGGTGGACCCAGGCGAGAAGATTAGCACTACCCTGAAGCGAGAATTTGAGGAGGAGGCCTTGAATTCCTTGCAAAAATCTCCTGAGGAGAAAGCAGAATTGGAGAAGCAACTCCAAAAGCTGTTCAGCCAGGAACACTTTGTGGTGAGCTCTGTGTCTCTTGTGATAGCCTCTTGAGCTATGCATATAACTTGAAGCTGTGTGAAGCTTGAAAAAGTGTCACTGAAATGAAAATAAGCTGTGATGTTCGGGTTGTCATGGTGTAGGAAATGGAAGTGAGTATTGAAAACTCTGTACAGGAGGGAAAGGGAAAAGTCTTATTGATTCCACCTTTTTTGTTGTGACACTGAGCTTGTTTTGGTTTGTTTGGGGCCTTAGGTGTACAGAGGATATGTGGATGACCCTCGTAACACTGATAATGCCTGGATGGAGACGGAGGCTGTGAACTATCATGATGAAACTGGTGGGTGTCTCCACATGTGCTTTTAGTTGCCTTTTACTCTGTATGTTGGATTGAAATTGGCATGTATGCTGGGCTGAGACTGGCAAGGAAATTGGGGGAGCATGCAAGTCAGGTGTGAAATACTGGATTAAAACTAGTGGGCATGAGGGTCTCTTGTCTCTTAAGATGTTCAGATGACAGGTAGTTGTCACTCCCTGTTGGTTTCTGACGGTCTTGAAATAAGGAACATATGGACTTTGCCTGAAAATTACATATGCATTTGTTAGCTAGTTCTAAGCTGCAGACTATGTGCCTTGTCCAGTGTTCAGTCTCCATAAGATTATTAAGCTTCTCAAGGGTTCCTTCTTGTCACTGTTTACATTGAGTTCATTTAACTTCCTTTTTAATGAGTCTGGGGTGGAAGCATAGTCTGTTCCTTGTGGTATTTTTCCTCTAGTAACTAGTGTGTACTTCAGGAGCATTCCCTCTGGCCGCTGGCGTGTTCTCACTGCATTTATTGCTTTGTTGTTATAACTGCTCTGAGACCTTTTATCTTGGTTACTCTGTCAGAGTAATTGTTGGACTTTATTATATGTCTATATATCAGTAGGAATGTGCATATCATACCTTGCTAGTTCTTAGATTGCTCTGTTAACCTGCATTCTCATCTTTCATCTTTAAGATAAATCGATCTAGTTAGGTGAACAAGTCAGAGGCTTCATATATTGACATTTCCACTGTGTTTTGGGTAGTAGATACAAGAGAAGTTTCACATGTTACTGGTCCTTGATTTATCAGCAATCAGAAACTGTGAAAATACTGTTTCTTTTTGTTTCTAATACTTTTAAAAGCTTTTATTTGGTTGTTGTCTGTGAAGTCCTTGGGACTCTTTTTGAAAACAGAGTAAGAAGCTTTGGAGAACAATTCAGAAGCCTCTCTGCATTCCTCCTTAAGTACTATTTTTGATTTTGGGGCCTTTAGTACAATTTTAATTATTGTGGTTTCCATAAGCATATATGCGTCAGAATTCAGTTTGTCCTGTAGAATAGTACCTGAGAAAGGGAGCAGTCAAATGTTAGCTGAATAAACAAAAATCAAAGCAGAGGGATTGGCTAAACTGGTGGTAGTGAGTACATGTTGTCATAATGATTTTTATTGATTTATGCTGCTGCTGGTAGCCCAGGAGTGGTGACAAGGAGTTAACACCATCTATGCCGCTCAGATTTGCTTTAAAATAGTGCAAGTATGAAAAAGGTTTCTGGCACATAATCAGTGAGCAACTTAATTGGTTTCTCTCTGAAAAGTAGTTGAAGATTGCTGCCTGTGAAGGAGCTGTGTGGAAGGGTGGAACTGATCGGTTGCGAGAAGAAAAAACAGTAGCATGTCATAAATCTTGTTTTGTGACAGGTGAGACATTGGATAATTTGCCCCTGGAAGCAGGTGATGATGCTGGAATGGTCAAGTGGGTTGACATCAGTGAGAAGCTCAAGCTGTATGCGAGTCATAGCTACTTCATTAAGCTTGTGACTGAGAAGCGGAGAGCCCACTGGAGTGAGGATCCTGGTCCTGAGTGCCATGAGTGATGTAAACAAAGAACCAATGAACACCAAGGGGAGAATATGTTTTCCAGCTTTAAAACAGATGACATTGTCCTTTTCAGTGAAAATGCTGTGCTATTCATCTGGCAAAACCACTTGGCAATGATAAATAGAGGCTTTTTCAGAGGCTTTAGAGTGCTCCTTTTGATTTCATACCTAGTATGAAATGATGTGAACGTAGAACTGTTACCTTGTTTTGCTTTGTCTTCATTTTTTGCAGCCATTTGATAATACCTGCAGATCTGCATGAGAACACAGGGATTCTGACTGGTTGTAGTTCAGAGACTCTCCACTTTAGCTCTGTATTTTTGCGCTGATTTCTTGTCAAGTGTATGAATCCATAAAGGATGAGACACTTGTGGGAGGATAGCCTGAATAATAACAGCTCGATTGAAGTGCTACATAATAAAGTGACATTTCTTTTCTGAGTTTTGCTTAACATGTCCTTTCAGTGATTTTCTATCACATTTACTTGCTTTCTAGTTTAAAGTATGGATGGTATTCACATCTGAATGTCTGACAGTGCCTCTATCTATGACAGTATCTGTTGGTGGATGTAACTTGATGACTAACTTTGGGAGCTGGATTTTAAGGTTTCTCTCTTCATACTGCTTATGGCTGTTAGGAAGACTGTGCTATGAACAGGATCATTGGAAAGAGCAGCCTTAAATAATAATCTTGTAAATTGTGGTGGGTTTTTTTGCAGTTTAGGTAATGTGAGTCACTTGCAGTCAGGAGGCCGATGTGGGCATTTATACTGATAACAATAGCTGCACAACAGTTGCTGACGTTTCTCCCTATGTTTTTATTCCAGGGGTAATTGCTGTTAATTGTGTAAGCATCAAGAGCTGGTGACAGTAACAGCTTAATTTTGTGGTTGAGACCTGGGGAGGGGACTTGAGACTGTTGGCCACGACCTGCTTAATTAATGAACATTTTTAGGGCCTTTTCCTTTTCAACACCACTTCTTCCCAATTAGCTACTGAAATCTGGAGAGGTCGTGTGCATTTATATGGGGGGACCCTGGGAATGTTGTAGAGTTAAAGTATGTTACTTTCTAAGGAAAAAGTAATGCTAAGAGTTGTTAATTTTCCTTCAGTCCTTACTCACCTCTTCCTGCATATTTGATTTCTTCTGTGGTCCTACTAAAACAGCATAAATGCTTTAATCTAGGTTCATTTAAAACTAGATGGAAACAAGTCTACAGAAGGTCAATAAAATCATCACTACGTATCTTATCTACTTCACAAAATGAAGAAATAATAAAGATTAAATTATTTATAAATTAAGCAAGAATAGTAACATAATTAAAGTACTGTTGGGGAAATTAGCTTTCATTCATCATCCTTACTGTTAATGCTTCTGTAATCTATAGTTTAAATATTGGTGGTGTTTGCCCCCTTACAGGCTACATGAGCTCAGGTGAAAATTTTTCTTGTACTGTGACTGTAGGTAGCATCTATTTCTGCATACATTAGCCAAAGCTCCTTTTCTGTGCCTTGCAGTGGAAAAGCTGAAGTGGCAGCATCACTGAGAGTTTCAGAACAGGCTGGTTGAGACAGAGTATGCTTTTGCACATGTAATCCAGGTTGATTTATATACACTGCTGTGTGATGTTACAGGGCGTGAAGTGTGCGACAGATCCAGCTTATACGAGAAGCTGTTAGTGAAACTGGTTTTAGAGATAAATAATCTTTTGCTTAAGAAGTTCCTGTGTTGAAAGTAATCAGAGCTTGATTCATTGTCCCCCAGGGCATCAGCCTGGAGCTGGACTGATTAGCAGCCCTTGCTGGTTCAAGAACTAGCAAGGGGCAAGTGGACTTACACTATATAAGCTACTGAAACAGCATTTTGGAATTCCATTTTCTTTTCACTGGAAAGGGGACGTGCTTCAAGTGAAAGGTGTTTCCTGACCTTCCTTTGTAGGAATAGCATTTGGGGCTTCTTGCTTACAGCAGAGTATGTCTAGAGCATTTTTGGTGAAGTGTTTGGCTTAAAATCACAAAGTTAATGGGATTCAGGAATAATCCCATTCGGTCATGCTTTTCATGCCTAAATTTGTCTGTCTTTAGGAAAGCAAAAGTTGGGAGATGGTGAAATAAATAGTTAGAATTTCTTTCTCGGGGAAACATGGTAGCAGTAGTTGCTGTTTCTCTGGGAGGCAGGAAGAACGTGCCTGCTAAGGAGAACAAGGAGGTGCTGGAGCTGTTTATATCCTCAGTTCCTTGTGATGGTGAGCCTGTTGCCTGTCTGGACACACATCAACACATTCATGCAATTAGCTTATTACACAGTTTGTCAGCTGTGTGACATTGGTACTATTACTGTTGCATTTCAAGAGGTGGGGAAGAAGTATCGGAAAAGCTCTGACTTCTTTTCATGTGCTTTAGGAATTACGGTTTAAGGACTGGTGTATATGATCTACACTTTAGTTTCTTCACTTCCTTAAATCTAAAACGAAATTGCCATTGAACCGTAGCCGTGATACCTTTTCTTTGACAGAGTTCTGACAAAACCCATACATCTAGGTAGGCATTTTATTTGAGGCTTCTATGCAGAATGTTAAACTGACAATACAGTAAATACAGGAAACAAGTCCTATTTCAAGGTAACTTTCTTCAGTGTACAGTAAAATCCACATCCTATCATTCTACTGAAGAGTTTTGTGAACATCTCAGTCATCAGTTTTAGTACTACTTATTGGTTCAGAGACATCAGATACATATGGAAGAAAACAGTGCTTATTTATCTATGAACCACTTGGAGTAGTTAATTTTTTTCTGCTGTTAATGAATATAGAACTTTTCTGCCTTGTGTTATTCGATAAGAATGCAGTTAACCTTATGCCACCTATGTCTTGAAAACTATGAAGCTGTTAATTATAGAAATAAACAAAATTCATGTATTTCACCAGTTTTAGTGCAGCACTTGGATTCTATTCAGCCAGGCTCAGAATAGGAGATTTTCATTTATGTCTTCTGCAACAAAGAAGAAAATGTTATTAACATATTGATGCCAAAGAGGTGTTTTTATGCTGTATCACTATCAAGAAAGTGATACACTAAAGTTTCAGAGGGCTCATGTAGGGGGATGCTACCCCTAACAATAACCCAAATACGCCTGCCGCTATCATATGTGGGAGCCATTCATTTAGACCCTTCTTGATAGGTGCTTTTTTGTTTCTAGTGTTAGGTCTTCTTGATCTGTTTGTAAGCCAAACAGATCCCTTCCACCTCACTCTTCATTCTTCTTTAGGACTGACCCTAAGCCCCTCTTTGGATGAACAGTCATTGGCAACAGTACATGTATGTTATGATTAACTCCTCACAGCTTAATTCCACATGTGGCTTGTGACTGGTGAATTGTTGTCAGAAGAGCTGGAAAAATTCTGGGAAGAGTGAAGGCTCTGCATGTCTGACTAGGATCAGCCTTCACTTAAAAGCAGGGAGTTGCTAGTAGGATTTTGAACATGTTACTTCAGTCTGCATGTTTAGCCAAAGGCCTTCTGTCGCATAGCTAGGATTAACTTGTGCTACTGCTGCCCTTGCTGAATGACTGGCAGTATTGTTCAGCTGTCACTCAGGGTTAGATCAGAAGACAGTGGATTACAAAAGGATGCATTACATTGAATGTAGGTATGTAAATCTCATTGCTGTCTTGGCAGCTTCTGTTCAGCTGCTGCCTAATTCTAGAGACATCACCAGCACAGTGGTATCTAGCTTTTCACTTTCCTAGGGAAGTCTTGATGTGGATTGAGCTGAACCAAACATATGCATAGTGCATTTAGGATTCAGAAACTGACACTGCCTCTGCCTAAGCCTCCTGATGTGTGCAGGCTGGTGGGCACCATCTGGCTTGTGTTGCATCTGATAGATGAGGTAAAATAGGTGGTTTAGCCTGCAGCTATAGTGTGATGACAGCATTTGTGTTGTATATGGCTTGGGATCTTTAAATGCATTTTCAATCAGTATGTTTTGATCACTGATTTGAAAGCACTCTTTGCCTTTCTTTTGACACCCAAGGATAAAATAGAGTGTTTCTGAGAGACAGGCATGCAGAACATAGAGGTTCAGACATCACACAGGAATGATTTGATAGTTGGTACAAACTACCTCCCTTCCTTGGACCTTTTTCAGTCTTGCTACTGTTCCAATTGCTTCTGTGCACAATAGCCATGAGCTTCTGGCTACAATTTATTTCCCATATGTTGTGGTCTGAAAACATGTCTAGTCTTAACAGGAACATTTTGTCCTGTACACCTGTCCATTCTTCTAGGTTTACCTTCCTTAATCCCAAAGCAGTGGCACCATTCCTTCAAAGCAATGAGTTTGTCATGGTCTCCATCACATTCTTGGAAGAAACGGGTTATGCAGTGTTCCATGGGAACAAGGGAGGCTCTCAAAGGCGCGAGCTCCGAGTGTGTTAATAATCTGAAAGAAAGACTAGGTATGTAGAGCTGTATTTCATTAATAAATCATTAGCATCATTGAAATCTAAGGTGCTAGAAGATGATAGTGGTGGCTTTGACACACATGCCCTGGTAGATTTTGTTGTGGTGCTTCTGTAGTGTATCTATCCCAGGTCGTTAGAATGATGTGCAATACCTGATAAACTAAAATGTTTTTACTGCTATTTGTTTGCTAACTTTTTTTTTCCTTTTTTTTTTTTTTCTTAGAAGAAGTTGTGGAGGTTTGCTGTTAATCTTCAGGAGATCAGCTTGCAAAGGTGCTTAGCTATGTTCTAAGACAGTAAATGTGATCAGCATGTGGTACTGGGAGCTTGCAGCCTTGAAACATGGGGGATCCCATCACCGAGTGTCATGACCAAAAGCCTGAAATCTGAGTCATCTTCTCAGAAGCAGGGGGTTTCCTCTGAACTGCGGCACTGGTGCTGTCTTACCATATTTGTTCCTTAATCTGAGAGACTTCTGTAGTATTATTTGAAAGCTGCGTGTATCCCACTGGTGAATTCTTGCTGACAGGCCTCTACCCTTTGTACTTAGCCTGTTGCCTTAGCTTCAGTAATAACAGGATCTCATGAGCCTTATTTTCTTCCAGAATCAGGGCATTAGTAGTTATGAAGACTCTATAGAGCCTGAGCTGTAATGTGTGATGATTATGAAAGGCAAGAGGATACCAGGTTCTGACCTACGACATGGCAC